TTTCCCAGAGTGAACCCAAGGGCCCGGCACTCCAGACCCACTGACTCCAAAAACGACATCACAAGCGTGTAAAGTGCATTTCTCATTCTCCACTCCTCCATCTATTAAAACTAGCTTTACTCTCAATGCTACAGAAGCTTGTCCTGTTTACTCTCACCTTCCGGAAACTACTATGGAATCAATTAACTTCCTGAATGTTCTCAATAATCTCTTACTGGTAGGACCCACTGGCTTTATTTCTGTACCAGTTTCTGGGACACCCTCATCTTATATTTGTACATTCCCTATCACTCCTTACTGGTCCCTTATTTGTCTACTTACTAAATGCTGATGTTTCTCAAAGTCACACTGCACCTTCTCTCCTAGTCCTACCGGCTTCTCCTGGTTAACCTTACAGACAGTGCCTATCAGCAGTGATTCTCAATTCTGTATCACCAACCCACTTCTCTCCTGAGAACCAGTCCTTTGTTTAATCTTTCTATTTAATTTTTTTACCTCTATTTCCCTCAAATATAACCTGTCCAGGATTAAGTACATTGCCATCTCCCTAAATCTTGTTTTTTTTTTATTCTGTGCAGTCAGTGACATCACCTTGTACTTGAGTCACAAAAGTGATGAGTGACGTCAGGAGGAAATGCAAACTCTCAGGCCCCACCCTACACTTCGCTAGAAGAATGACTCAGATGGGCATCAAAAGTTTGAGAGGATGGGCCTCCCCATTGGCGCAGTGGGTTGAGCACAGCGCTGTGAAGCTGTCTACAGCATGGGTTTGATTCCTGGCCGGCCAGGGAGATTCCCACATGGTGTGGCAGACCTCTCCTGTTGTGCCCGCTGCTCCCCTCAGCAGTGTATTTTGGCCCGTCTGCCTGTTCTGCTCCCTGCTCTGTCTCTGGTGAATCCTCTCACCCTCCCACGCCTCTGGCCTGTATCCCAGCTATTGTATAAATAAATAAATAACAGAAGTCTCTTTATAAAAAAAAAAGTTTGAGAGGACACACAGGGGTTAAAATCTCAGTGCTATGAAAGCTATCACAAGTAAGCCACTGCAGCCAGTCAATCCCCAGCCAGACAGCGAACCCACATGGCATGGCAGACCTCGCCTGTCTTGCCCACTGCTCCCCTCAGCAGTGTATTTCAGTAGATCTGGCTGTTCTGCTCCCCACTCTGTCTCTGATGAATCCTCTCAGCCCCCACACCTCTGTCCCTCATCCCAGTTCTTGCATGCATAAAAAATAAAATAAATCTTGAAAAAAAAAAATTTTTGAGCAGCTGGTAAGTACTTTATATGTCCTGTACATCTCAACTCCTGAGACCAACATACCCTTTCAGATCTCCGTTATTGTGCTCAAGTTGTACCATCTGTTGGGAATGTATCAAACCTTTTGCATCTTATGAAGCTTGATGCTACTGTAGGGGCACCTAGCATAGGGAGAGTACATGGTTGGCTATAAATATCTGAATGACTGGATCACTTAATTAGTTGATTCATGGATAAGTGCGGTTGGAGACCCACAGAATTTGAGGCACTCAAGTGCATTCAGATGAAAGTTGAATGTCAGGTGTTACGCATATGTGGGGTCCAGAATTCAAAGGAGAGGTGGACTGAGGGAGCAGTTTAAAAAAAAAATCACTAGCAATGACTTGGAAGTTACAGAGGTAGATAGATGAGGTCACCTAGGTTTGAGGAACATTTAAAAGGACTGCGGGCCAAATCATGGGAAAACTAACATTTAAGAGATCTACTGTTATCTATTGTAGAAGTCAGTGAGGGCAGGTTAGGCTAACAGGGTGAGAACAAATCAAGTGTTAAGGGGTTCCAAAGAGAGAAATGGATTTGGCACCCAGGCTATTGTTATCTTTGGCAACTAAAGCAGGTGACTGGAATAGAAAGGTAAGGTCAAAAGTAAAGCAGAAGCTTAACTTTTTTCTACTAACTAAATAAAACAAGACCAGTGGAATGATCACTGTAAGAACCATCTTCATTGTATGAGAAGGAAGGGGAAAAAAAAATGGACCCCAAAGCTGGCTGTTTCATACGATTTATGCCTAGGGACAAAGAAGTTGACAACTTTCAGTTGGGAGCTGTAACAATCACCAACACTGGTGAAGCACCTGCCCTGTGACCTAATGCAGTGAAAAATATTGGGTACTTGATGGAGACCTCACAACAGATAGGGTAAGAAGCTGATATAAGGTGGTTAGCCTTGAAAAAGCAACTTTTGCTCAGGTAGTGGTATAATGGCAGGAATGTTGAAAGGGATATAGAGGGGATAAAGTTCACACCTAATAATCTTCACTTTTTAAATGTAAAGAGATTGAAATAAGGCAAAAATGATTAATATTTCACCGTGCTCCTCAACAATTCTAAGATAGTGGGATTTTGAAACATAAGGCATGTGAGAAACAGAGGTCAGCGACCAGTCCCTCAAATGGCTAACAAGTGGTTGAGACACCAGATTCACTGGCCAATACTTCTGAAGTTCCATTCATGTGGACAGTGTGAAAAACAGCAGCACCCAAATTTCCACAAGATCCCTACGTCATGCTGATGTTGCTGCTACATGGGCCACATATTAGCTAACAACACCAGTCTAAGTCCTGGATCTTCATATTCTCAGAGTGCCTGAAGTATTCAGCTAAGATGAAGAAATTAAAGGGCTAATAATGAAAGCCCTCAGTACTTGGCACAGTCAAACCCATAAGCAGGTTTTTAATAAATGACAGCTATCCAGTAATAGAAATTAGGATGTCTATCAGAAATACTCCAAGAGGAAAGCCCAGCTTTACAGGCAGAACCACACATACTCAGGAGGAAACTGTGTGACCTTGGCAAGTTCAGTTACCTAACCATGGTGCCTCGCTCGCCCCTCATGTACAACCACCCCTTCTCCACTGAGTATGCATAAAGCCCTGAGAACAGCAGCTGGCATTCAGTAATAGTTCAATTAAGGCCTTGATTTTACTCACATTGTTGCTACTGCTGCTCTACTACTACCGCCACTGTTATCACTAGCAATAGTGATATCACCATATGACTTTCAAGAAAGTAAGTAGGCAATAAAATCGCATTAAGGAGTTCCACCAGCAACCACAGTGTACCACAAAACTTTCACAACCCACGCAGAGACAGATAGAGAGGATATCTGTCAGCTACAGATAGTAGCAATGCAATTTTTAATACTTTGTCCTGGGAATGCAGGGACCCAACATGTTACCACTCAAATGGAGTGCACAGTAAAACTGTTTCTAAAATGGCAGGAAGTTTCTAAAGAAATCAACACCTTACATGAGTTATAGTTTTTGAGTGGTTCCCCCATCAGGAAATAAGAATAAAAATAGGCGTCCTTTTTTAGCTAAAGACAGCAGAACTCTAAGGAGAAGTTCACTTTGAGCAGGACAACAATGCTACATATATCGAAATATCCTTGGTTGAGATGACGCCTAACAATGAGATACCCGGAAAAATCCAATTATCTGGCTAGTCTCAGGGGGAAAAAAAAATCTTCCTGAATGGTTTCCATACTTCCACTTTTCTGCTTCAGATGTAGCCTAAAACATTCCCCCGCCCCACCTCCCTCCAGAGAATACAAACATTGTGTTGTCAACTTCAGGTTTAGTCAGTTGGGTGTTTGACAAAACAAAGGTGGAAACACACCATTTAACTGGTTATGTGACCCTTCATCTTTCCCGGAAGCTCTACTTTGGAAATTTCAGCCAAGTCTAAATGATATGTAACAAAAAGGTGGAGATACTGCAATAGACTCTGATCGAACATTAGACCTGTCCAGAGAATGCTGATCTCATGAATAACGCCTCGCAGCTGTGGCATCCAACAATGGGATCAACATTTCAACAGGAAGCAGAGAGCCATCCCAGCAGAAGGGGCCACCCGATCTCGCTCTCGAGCGCTTTGAAAAAAAAAAAAAAATTATCCTTCTGGAGACTCACACCGAGCGCCTCTCCAAGTCCACCTATGGCTTTTTTTAATGAACCATTTGCTTATGAAAAGCGACAAGTTCTTATTCTGACGCGCAAGATCAGCTCTGACTTACAACACTGACACGGAAACATCAGTTTTAATAAATAATTATTCCTTCTAATGATCCACACATTTTTTAAATGCCTCCTTCCCCTCCCGAGAGCCGCGCGGTCGAATAATGCACTTGGCGAACCCTTTAGGAATCGCCCAGCCCAAGTATTTGCGTCCTATCTTCCAAAGGAATCAACTCAGTACACACTCAAAACAGAGATTATTAATTTTCCCTTTGCACTTTGCCCTGGGACTGCAGAAATGAGCCGCCTTTAGATTTCCCAGCGCCTGCTCGTTCCCGTCCCGGTGCAGCCCGGAGCTGGTGCTGAGCTCGCCTCGCCTGCGAGCCCAGGTCGGTCCCTGCTCGCCCGGCGCTTTCCTGGAGGCAGCCTGGGGGACCCCTGGCACCCACCAGCTCGGTGTCCATTTAATCATGGCGTTTGCCATTCGGTCTCCCCGCTCGCAGCGCTCGACACCTGAAAACTCGCCGCCCAAGGCTTCTGAAATCGGGCAAGCCTGGCCCGGCGCAAGGCGGCTAACAAGGCAAAGGCAAAAGAAAAAAAAAAAAATAGAAATAAAGCAGAGCCCGCACCTGCGGCAAAGAGCCATCGGGGAGACACGCCGGGCGCCCCCCGCGCGCCGCGCCCACCCACCCGCGCCCCGGGGTCCCCTCCACCGCGGCAGCTCCTGCGGGTGCTCGGCCCCCGGTGCGCCCCCGGTGCACACCCCACTGGCGCGCAAGGCTCCCTCCTGAGCCGCTGCACCTCCCGGCTCGGGTCTCGGCACAGCAGAAAAAAATCTCCCGGTGCAATGCCGCCTGCCGCGCAGCCGGCGCCGCAGAGCCCCCAAATAGCGCCCGCCCCCTCCCCCCAGCCTCATTGTTCCCGGGTCGCCGCAGGCAGCGAGCGCCCCGGGGCTGGGCTGGCAAGGGGACCCCGGGGGCCGAGGGGCCCCCCACCCGCCCACTCACCCGCGACTCCGCACAGCAGCACGAGCCGCAGCAGCAGCGCCATGGTGCGGCCCGCGGGGCGGCGACCGCAGGGAGCAGCTCTCGCCGGGGTCTCGGCCGCCCCGCGCCTCGCGCGCTCCCGACTGGCTGGTGGAGACGGCACCTCGACACCCGCCTGCTGGGCAGGTGCACCACGTCACTTCCGGCAGCGGGCGAGCCGCAGCGGGCGCGGGCCCCGCCGGGCGCGTGGGGTTGCCATGGCAACCGCAGCCCGCCGCCGGCGCCCCCCGCCTTAGGTAATTCCCCACAGCCCCCAGCCTGGAGCTCCGTCTCTGGCCGGCCAGCAGCGCGCGGAGTTGGGGTGCACCCGCCACCCCTTGATCGGTGCCGGAGCCGGAGCCCCGCCTCCCTGACTTCAGTTAAATCTAGTTTTGCGTCCGAAGGTCGAGCCCGAGCCTCTCCCGAGATAGCAGAAATGCAGTCCCGCCCTAGCTTAAGGCAACATTCGCCCGCCAGCACCCGTACCCTAAAGGGAGACAAGTGGCAGGGTCTTGTCCCCGCCCACCCCAGCCTCCCTTTGGGGGAGAAAGGGGTGGGGAGCCTCCTGCCTGGTCTCCCTCCAGGGATAGTTTGCTGCAGGGGTGGGGGCTCCCACCTAAGGCCCCTGCAGCCCGTCGTGCTGCTCGCGTGTCTTTGAATCACTTGGGCTGCTGCAGACGCCGCGTGAGGTTCTTCTCCTGCAGTAATGACCGAACCCCTAAGCTGCAGCTTCAGATGCTGGAAATGCCCGGATTGGGTGTTTGTGAAGGTTATCCTAGCCCTGCAATCTGACAGCTAGAACCTGTAAGCTTGAAAAGTGGGAAGAAGTAGGGGTGGTTAGAGTCCCTAGGTCTTGGGGGGTGTGGCCAGTACGCAGGGAACTAGAGCTCTGGAATTGCCTGGTCCACCCTGCAATGCCACATCTTCCTCCTGGTGCCCTCCATACTTGTTCTTGTGTCATTTTGCTGCTTGGTCTCAGTTGCTCTTTGCAGATAACGTTTATTTATAACTACAGAGAGGCTGTAGTATTCCAAACAGTTCTCTATCAAGAGTGTATAAGAGCACCTGCACCCCTATGTTTATAGCAGCACTGTTTACAATAGCTAAGCTTTGGAAACAGCCCAAATGCCCAAAAATAGATGACTGGATCAAGAAGATGTGGTACATATACACCATGGAATATTACTCAGCATTCAAAAAAAGATAAACACATGCAATTTGCAGCAACATGGATGGCGCTGGAAGGGATCATGCTCAGCGAAATAAGCCAGAAAGAAAAAGAAAAATACCACATGGTCTCACTCATAGCAGGAATCTAGAAAACTTAAATAAGGGACCAGGAAAATGAATAACTATAAGAAAGTGAAAATCAAAATCAACAAAAAACTATGAACCAGAGACCCTTTTTGGGGGGTGGGGGGCGAGAGGGGAGGTATTGGGGTCAAAATGGGGGGTTGCAATTGTATGGGGAATATAAAAATAAATATAAAAATATAAAAATAAAATTTATTATAAAAAAAAAGAGTGTATTAGGAATGCTCTGGGATGAGGCAGTAACTGATACTGAAGGTCGGCCTCAGTTTCCCTCAGCCAATAAAAGGAAACAGAGTTTGAGGAAAAGGAAAGTGGTTTGATTTGTCCATAAATGAGGAGAGCAGCAGACTCATGTCTGAAAGTCAACCGTCCTGCTCTTTGGCAGAGTGCAGAGTGCCCTCTTCCCTGCAAAGGGAAGAGGGTAGGGGTCAGCACGAGCTGGTTGGGCGTCAGCTTGCTTTTTTTCAAAACTACTGTTTTCCTTGGAATGCAAGAAGGCAAACTTGTCAAATAAAGAGGGAATTGCAAGAAATATGGGAAAGACAAACTTGTTAATGCTTATCTGAGAGACCAGTCATTTGTAACCGCATCATAATCCCCACTCTCTGGTATAACCTTCCATTTCTATAGAAGAAATAGAAGGGTGGTAGCATCTTCTGGCTGCTTCCTCCTGAATGGGGTCCGGTGGTGGAGGGGCTTACTGTGGAAGGCCTGCACTTGATGGTGCCACAGTTCCTGACATGATATTAAGTTGTTGGTGGCGGTGTAGCAGCACTAAGGTATACAACATATCATAGTCCTAAATGTAATAGGGGTTACTTTATACCTTCCTCAAGATAATGACATTTAGGATACAGCCCTAACTGAAGAGGACCAGAGACTAATATAAATAGTTACTAGACATAATTTTTTCTCTACCCTCATCCCAATTCTGTAAAATAGTAAACCAAATCTAATTTTATTTATTTTTTAAAAATATTTATATATTTAATAATAACAAGAAACCGGGGTACAGGCCAGATGTGTGGGAGGGTGAGCGGATTCACCAGAGACAGAGCGGGGAACAGAACAGACAGACTGACGAAATGCACTGCTGAGGGGAGCAGTGGGCGAGACAGTAGAGGTCTGCTTGCCATGTGGGATTCTCACCTGCCAGCCGGGATCAAACCCATGCTACAGAGGCTGAAGACAGCCTCAAGTGCGGTGCTCAACCACCTGCACCACTGGAAGGCCCAACCAAATCTAATTTTAAACAATTTTACCTATATTTGCATAAACTCAAAGGGCAGAATAACCAAGCAGAATGTTGTTGGCTTTGTTGAAAACGCCACAGGGTCTAGAATGAGCTTTTTAATACCCAGTCCATGCAGGCTTCATCAAAGTCACAGTCTTACCAGACTTCACCTGAGCTTTCCTCTTCTCAAGGTTCCTGGGTCTTTTTCCAGGTTTTTTCCAGTCTTGCCAATGGAGACAAGCTTCTTTATCTTTTATGGAGGTCTTTGGAATCTGATAAGCAAGGTGACAGGCTCTTCTTGACTCACTCTTCTCAACTCAGCTCTAATTTTACTCCCAGAAGAATTTCACTCAAAGCCTTGCAACAAAACATGTTTTCAATTTTATAGTTTAAGGAGAAATAAATAAAATTCCCTATTGAGATTATGCAAAGGTAGACACTGTCCTAAGAAGTACAAATATTGCCTATAAATTTTGGGGATGAGAAAAGAGAAAAGCCAATGTTCCAGTTTGCTCATAAAAAGATGCAAATTGCCACTGCTAACATCATAGCCCAGTTTAAAGACAAGTTCTCTAGAGATAAAAACCAAAAGAAAACATTAAAAACAAATATTTTTTAAAAGTTATTAAATATTATACAAATCCTCCTCAGTGTACTTTTCCTGTGTATTAAGTCTTGATCTTCTCTTGGTAATTTTCATAAATCCAATTTTTTTTTATAGGCTCGGTAGGTCTTCTCAGTTCCATAGCTATATTTGCAGTCTCTTTTTGTGAGTTTTCTGAAGACAAAGCTCAGCAAGTAAGCTTTAGAAATAACATAAACTTGAAAATGACCATACCTAAAATTATGGTATAAGGCAAAGCCAAGGATGTTTGCTCAATTTTATGATACACACATATATATTTCAGAATAATCAGAATTGTCCAATAATATTGTACCGGAACATACTGGGTTTTAAAAATCTAATATATTTTAGAACACTAATCAATTTTTATATATGCTGAAAAGATGTAACTTTTTCCCTCATAGAAAAACTATGAAGTTTTAACATCTCTAGATTGGTCCAATGTGTTTTAGCATTTTACTGCAAGGAAAATAATTTATTAAGAGTCCTAAGACATATCAAATCATTTTACTCATCAAAAGCTTTACTATTTCTGAAATTTGTCTTCAAGGAAAATTTTGTCACAGGCTTAATACATATATACAGATTTTTATAAAACAACACTAAATTGCCCAGTGATAACTAGAAGTTTTTTAAAGTAGCTATATTTTTACAGTGCTCAACAATGCTGACAGGAATATATTTTTCAATTAACCAAGTCAGGGTAAAAGAGAACCAAGATTTTTGATTACCTGACCAGTCTTTAATTTGTCATCAAGAACTAGTAAAGGCAGTTTACGAATTCTTGAGTCGTTACTGAAGAAGAAAAGAAATTAAATTTGGTTTTACATAAGTATACTACTGATAATAAACTTAAATATTTCTAAAGCAAGTCATTCTAGCACATAACATTTTTCTAAGATACCTCTCAGACCTTCAGACCTTCAACACTTTTTCTTTTGCCTTCCTATTTTGCATCTTTTTTCCCCCAAAGATAGCCATTTTGTTTTGACATTAAATTTTTCAAGATCTCTAACATACCTGTTTTTAATACATTTTTTAACACACCTCATTTTATTTGCATTTAGAGTTACAGCATTCTAGTTTTTAATTTTAGTTTTTAATTTTTAATTGTTATGGCTGAATTTTGTCTTTATTTATGCCTGCAGGCCCAGAGCAGATCTCTTTGCAAAGTCTGAGCCCCTAGCAATTAGGCAACAAAGCATTCATTGCCCCAGTGGGGGCACATTCATACTTAAAAGCAAGCAGGGAGTATAGAAGCAGAAGACTCCCAAGAGGTCATCCGGTCATCTGGGGCACACAAGTCAGGCGCCTGGCCAGAGAAAGTCCATCATTCACTCCCTGAAACTTTTAGTCCACACAGAGGTCTTTCCCAACATAACTTCAGCTCATTAACAGGTCAGCCTCACATTTTCACTTCAAGACATTTTAAGAGATGTTATGCTATTATTCCTTTGTACTTGGATAACTCATACCTAAACACATGTTTTGTTTCAGTTTTTTTAGGTGAGAAGACAATAAAGTTTAGTTTTCTACAATAAGAAGCAAAAATAAACCAAAAGCCCATTAAGTAGTCAACAAATTTTCATTATTAGTAGATCCCTACTTTTATAGGAGAAATATACCACCATTTAAATAATGATAAAAAGAACAGATTTAAGATGGAATTATCAATTGTACTGTTAGTTTTTCTTAGGATAGGAAGTTCAAATTGCAGAGTTAAAAATGAAACAATTTCATATGCCAGAGGTTTTTTGTTTTGTTTTTGTTTTTTTTCTTTTGGCTAGGACAAGGGAAGGAAAAATCAATTAAGGTACTTAGCTGGGGGGAAAAGGTACTTCTTTTAAGGGGAAGAAATTGTGGGTTAGTCTTTTTAGAAAAGAATTTTATCAAAACATGGGCCTCCCTGGTGGCTCAGAGGTTGAGCGCTGGGTTGTGAAG